GTGTCTTGAGCTACGAAATAAACTGCTCTTGATTACAACTTTCTTGGAGAGATTTGTCGAATCTCGACGTAACTGCCCCAGGTTGACTGAATTCTGAATAGATCTCTCGACGTGATAGCCTCTGATTGATCGAGCTTGAAGAGATTTATCGACGTGATAGCCTCTGACTGACAGCTTGAAGAGATTAATCGACGTGATAACCTTTGATTGGCGGCTTTGAGGGGATGCCCCAGATTTGGCTGATCTTGGAGAGATCGACTCTTGACTTGACGGTCCCAGATTGGCGGAATCTGCTAACTTCATCCCTGAATTGTACTCAGACTGTGAAGTACCAAGGTGATTTTCTCTGGACAGAATCATCGGTTAACATGCTGCTGGATAAGTCATTTCTCTTGTGGCAGCTGACTCTTGCTTCAACAGGGTATTCAAGCCTCTCTTCTCTGACAAGATCGAGCTCTCTACCGGTTGTTCATTGTGCAAACTTACTTGATGTCAATCAATTGTTTTGTATGCAGAAGAATGTTTATTATGAGAATGATAATTCTAATGAAACACATATGTAAGTCTTGAAGTTTGAAAAAACTTTGAATGAAATGACGTCACAACTCTGTTGTGAACGAGTCACTAGCTAGAGAGAAACATTTGCAAAAAATTTTATGAAAGATAATGCAAGCATATGATGCCAACACAGATATCCAAACATACCTTTTAGGAGTCAGTTAAACGCTATCTCGTTGTAGCACGCTTTCGAATTGACCCTTGCTTCAGTTAGGACTTTGAAAGGGTTGTAACGTGGCCTGGTTCACGGTTTTAGAAAAAAGGATTTAAGGCTCAAAATTATTTGGTGCCCACCCATTCTCCATGATGTTCTCCATTCCTATGTTCAGTTGACCTGGTACAAGTATTCATCTCTCTAGAAGAGTTTGCGATGATTGAGGAACCACAGAGGTTTCTTGGACACGACAGTCACTAACTTCTTTTGCTTTTGGTGTCTGATCAGACGACTTTGTTCTTTGATGAGGATTTTCGTTGGTAATCCTTTTCTCACCTTTTAGGCTTTTCAATTTCCTTTTTGCTTTCCCTAATTTTTTCCTGGACAAATTCTTTTGAATTTCGATTTGGAAGTCCAGCGGGATGTCCCAATTTTTGCCTAAGTGACTTGTTTTCAAGTTTCGACTTAGCGGGGATTTTTGTTTCTTTCTTATTCGTATTTTCCATTTTGAACAAGTCGTTGATCTTTGCATTGTTTTGATTTGTTGGAAGTGATCGTGACTGCCTGAGTCTTTAGTCGATGATGGATAACCAGTATAGTATCGTCATTTGTTGACCTCCTGATGTGCGAGAGATACCCATTGGGATATAGTCAATAGATGCACATTACTGATAGATGAGGGTGAACCATTGTGGTTTTGACTTTCCTCAATCTTTTGATGGATAACCATTGTTGTATCCTTGGATGCACACTCTTGATGAGTTCTGAATGCTTGATCATATTAGCTGAACACTACCCGCCCCAAGGTTAAAATGAGGTTTTTTTTTCTGAACAGAAAGGAAACTCCTACTTCGAAGGCTCAGAGGGGTTGACGAGGGTCTATCTCCCTTATATCTCCAGTGTTTAGGGATTTGAAACAAGGCCTGTACATCGTCAGCAGGGTCTTACTCAAAAGCGTACCAACCAGAGATTTTGCGTTTTCAGATTGTCGTGATCCTCCTTTGAATCTTTACCTAAGCATAAGACTAGGAAATCTCGCATCAATATGCAAGTAAAATATTTAAAGAGTGATAACAAATGGATGAGTAAAAGTGAAAGGAACACTTCAAGACGAGCATACTTATTGCATTAATATTTTCGTTCAAAAATAGACAAGTTTCTATATACAAGCAATGTTTAAACAAACAAGCAAGAATGCAAATGAAAATGCAGTAAAGAAACCAATGATTGCCACTGTTGAGGAGACTTGACTCCGTATGAACTTGCTGATCTTGACGACTTTCTGTAGTCTTGATGCTCGAGTGTGCGAGAGAATTCCCCTTCAGATTTGATGTGAACACAATAGTCTCTGGATTGAGCCTGTCTTGGACATTGTCTTTGGATGACATACCATCTTCAATCGATTGGCCAGGTGCCCCAATATAATATGCATTACCAAGCACATCATGTTTTTTAAAGAAATAAAAAACATCATCATCAGAGTTTCCATGACCTGGCTTATCTGAGTATTTAATCCATTATCTTTTTGCTTGAAGAAGTTTCTCACTACGAGCCAAAGCTTGCATGTACCACTCAGAGTCATTCCATAGCTGCTCCATGAACACGTGCGATGAGAAACCAAGTTGAGCCTTTGAAGAGAACCCTAAGTCTGAATAAGAATCCCCAATCTTCGGGTACCTGTAATGAATGCATGAATATACATAGAGTGTATGAATGAATGCCATGTCATGTTTTGTCATTTCCAAGGAATTTGCGTGCTTTAATTTTGTTTTTGCGCAAGTAAGGGATGGAAGAATTTTGGCACAAGACTTGCAAATATGATTCCTTGAAAATAACAGAACATGTATGTTAAGCATGCAGTTAGCCATGTTATGTATGCAAAGGCATGAGATCAAAGAGGATCATGGTTCCATCGTTCCTGAATAAGGCTGCTGTACTGCTCTGGATCATGTGATTATCATCAGATCAGAGGTCTGACATAGCTTCTGCATATAAGAACCAAGTACCTTGTGGATCTCCCATTTTACGGGATTAAGGCTTCTGGAACATCGGATACTGTTGAGCATTTCTGAACATGTTGGGAATACCAAGGTTGAAGGATTGAATGAACCTCCAGGTAAACAAGTCAGGATCTCAGAAAATAAATCTGAGAACCATACGGTCACCACAAGATATAGCATCTGCATAAAGTCTTAACAGAAATCCAGAATACAGCCATCAGAACCAATAGCCACTATCTAAGCGTAGTTACCATTTGAATGTGAGTAACCATCTGCACATAGTCACCATCTGTACCTATGATAGAAATTCCCTCCCCACTCACGGGTGAAAACTAGGTCAGGGTAAGATAATGGTAACTCGAAAATCACGGGTTCGCCTGAAAGTGCTATGGGCTTGCCCACAGATGTGGGTGCCGATAGTAATTCATTTGAACCTCATCCGAGCATGGTATATGACATGACTGCACTAATCGGACCATGTCCTATAGCCGTCATGCCCCCACTCTATTCCTAGGTGTCCTAGTGCACTCTGGCCTGGGTACTGGGCCTTTTACCTCAGAAGTGACATCCCCACCCAACATAGAGAACAGAGTCCAGCATAACAGATAACAGATATGGAAAGCCATAAAATGCAATGCAAACATGTACAAATGAGTAAACTGAGAGCATGAAAATAAACACCCTAAGGAAAGAAAACAATAGCTAGGAGCGACTCCGGGATGGAACAGCATTTGGTCGACCTATTCCCCAGTGAAGTCGCCAGCTGAAACAACCGGCTGAAAATCATTAAACAATGAAGTCGCCATCGAACGTCTTTTATCCCACATGTAGGGAAAGGTAAACATCGAGAAAACCTGATGAAGGAGAAGTCACGGTCTTGCGACCGAGAGATCGGGTAAGGGAGTCTGTTACGCGAGGGGAAGGTATTAGCACCCCACACGCCCGTAGTACTCTATGGTATCCACTCTTGTTATCTATCTTATGGGTGTGTTTAATCTATGCTTACTGTCTATTATACTACTGGAGGAATGCATGCAAAAGAAAGGGGAAAAGAATGTAGGGAAAATAAAATTGTGCTCGCCTGGGCCCTACCCCAATGCCTACGTATCCGTTTTAAGGAATCAGAGCTACCGTAGTTCGGCTCACATTTTTTTGTTTGTTTGTGTTTTTTATGGACGAAGTTAATCCCGCCTTCTGCCGCAGCTCGACCTTTGGAGACTTATGCGTTGGCACAGAAGTAAATTAATCATGTCCTTACCTGAAAAGGGTTTTTTAAAAAATGGTGCTCGAGCGCACAAAAGATTTGAGTTTGTTTATATTTTGTTATAGATGATGACTGATTGACCTCAAGAGATAGATATTAGCCATTCTTCTACTTAGTCATGAGAGGAGTCTTTGAGAATTGAACCACACCTATGCTTGAGATGAAGAACAATAAGATCGAGAAGAGACCCGCTTATCATTTCTCGTACTAAGCAAAAGCATGATTCTCATCAATAGTTTTAAAGTGTTTTGAATTTTGAAAGAAAAGAAGTTTTAGTTTTGGGTGCGTATGCAAAAGGGAAAGAAAAGTTAAAGGGGAATTAGCCTATTTCTAAACCTAATGTTATTGTGTATCGTTAGACCTAAAGTTAGAATTTTCAGGGAATTCTACATAATGTTAGCATGCATATGGATTGCGATAAAGTGCGAAAATGAAGAATAAAATAGATTTGCGACGATACCGAATGGAGAAGGTCTGTTGCCTCTTCAAAATTGTGCAAGCGGTGAGAGGATTCTATCAAATTTTCCTTGGGCGAGTAATTGAAGAATTAACCCCGAGTATTCCACATTGCAAGAGTTATATCAATGCTATCACAAAAATCTTGACTAAAAAAGTCAATAAAATGATTATCGAATATGAAAAATAAAATAGAAAAATTCTAATCGAAATTCTAAAAAGAAATTCTATTCTAAAAATATTCTATTATTTTTATTGTTTTATTATTGATTAAAAAAATTAAACTAAAAAAAAACTAAAATAATAAAAGAAAAGAAAAAAAATTAGAAGAGTTAGGGGGTATGAAGTCTAGAAATGTGGGTGTTGAAGTAATTTGCCCAAAATATTTTCAACATTTTTATTTATTATTTTCTTAATTATAATTGTTATTAATTTGAATTAAGAATAATGAAACAATAAGACAATTAAATTAAAAAGAAAAAAAGTATGGAAATTGGAAAGGGAATAGGGTTTGAGAAAAAAGAAAGTCTCGTCCTTCTTCTCCAATAGAACGACGGTCTCTTCGTCCTCATCGCCGTCTTCTTCCTCCGCTCGCCGACATTCTTCCGATTATCTCCCTCGTCTTCATCAATAGCGTTCTCATCTCTCTTCTTCTCAAACGGAACAGCGGCGGCGCCTCCGCCTTTGGCTCATATTTCGAGTAAACGGTTTTGGCCAATCCAGAAGCCGATTCAACCACTCCGGCACGGCGGACTTCGGTCACAACAGATCTAGCTTGAGTCGAAACCTTCTTGCGATCAACGTATTTGAGAAGCTTCACGGGGACTTGGTGGAATTTGTTGATGACGGTTTTCACGGCTTCTTTAACGGTGTCGACGCCGGTTTTGAGTGGACCGGATCGTTCTTCTTCCTTTTGTTTAAATCACGACTCGTAAACCTTCTTCCCATCCCCAATTCTTCTGCATTTGCATTTTGCTGTTGTTCTTGTGCGTGTTGTTGTGATGTTGCTATTCTTGCAAACTCAGCGGCGTGTTGATGATTGGAACTTGATGCTAAGAATTTGTTGTGCTGATTTTGTTGCAGATCGAGCATTGATGATGTTACGAAGGTGATGGTGTTGCTGATTGAAAGAGAGGAGTTGTTGCAATTTGTTGAAGGTTGAAGTATGAATCGCTGCGTTCTTGATGTTGCAGAGAGGAAGACAGTTATGGAGGCGAGAGAGTGATAAAGATGTGAAGAGGTTTTCCTGAGAAATTTTTCATGGCCATTCTTCTGAAGTGATGAAGGAATGATTGTAAAGATGAGTTTTCTTCTGTTGAAACCGTCTCTATATAATGTTCTGCCTCTATCTCTATGTTGTGAGCTCCCTCCTCTATATGCTGATGGTTTGTTGGTTGGGAGGTTAGTTAAGTTAGTTAGGATAAGGTTAGAAATTCTGTTAGTTGGTTATAGAAAACAATTTCAGTTATAGGGTAGTTGTAAACTGTGAGAATTTCTGTTAAGGGGATTTGGTTAGTTTGCAGGTTAGTTCATCAATTTGAGCCAACTGAGAAAGGGGTTAGTAAACACCAGCAAAAACTAGTGGTTGGTGGAAACTTGGGTTAAGCCATATAAAAAACTGTTGGTGAAGTTTATAGTTATGTAAAAGAAACTAGTTAGTAGATTGGATTGAATATTGACGCTTGAAAATAGGGTGGACTGCGGATGATATATATGTTCTTTGATTTACTATCCTTGTTTTGTACGGCTGAATTTCGATGCACGTGAACTTGTTTTATACGGACTCATTTTGCATTTATTCCAAACTTGATCTCGGTGCTGAACTATAGCATGGATTGAAGTGCATCAGTGATGTTTTTCCTTTTCTTGCTTTGGAAACTTGAATTGGTTATTTCCCTTTTGGATTGTTTATTGGACTGGAGTGATTTAACCGCGAAATCTCGGTTGTTGCAGTTTACTTTTGAACTATTAAACTGGTTTTGATGTTCAGATTCTTTTTTTTTTAAATAAAAATATGGTTTATGTAGGTTTGGTTCATATCAAGGCTATTGGGAAGCAAAGGCAAAAGGAAAACACCAAGGTGATATGAAGTTGGAACAAAGACGCATAACACGAAGTTTTGGAAGCTTGAAGTTTGAAACATGAAGAATGGTTGAAAATTAGGATAGGTTTTGGTAAAAATATATAGATGTTATGTATAATTGTAATGGAATTTGGACTTGTATGTATTTGAATACACATTGGAATGTATGTTGACTTTATTTCCACATAATGAAATGGCCTTTGTATGAATTCAAATAAATGGTATGAATCCAAAATATTTGCAAGGTATCCAAAAGAGACATGAATCTTGAATGAATCCAAGAGAGGATATTTGGACAATATTTTGATGGTTGGATGAATTTGATGCAAGCTTTTTCATACTTGTGGTTTGAATTCCAAGAAAAACCACGCAAATATTTAAGAACTTTGATTTTCTCCAAATCCACTTCAAATATTGATGAATGAATTCTAATCAAACCACAGCTTCAGTGAACCCCTAATTCAATTCAATTCCTCAGTATAAACCAAACTTGTGTGTCAAGCAATAAACATTTGAAATAACGACACCTTGATCACAATCAACATCTTGTACCATGTCCCGACTGTATGAGCACTAGAATAACGACGTCTTGGACCCCTTCTCAATAGATGATAATGACCATGCCCTGAGGATTTCTTTGCAGATGAATATGAAAGATGAGACATGCGAATACCTTGATATGGAATGAACCTCAGGTAGAATGCTGACAAGCTCAAATATGAAATGTATAAACCCTGATTTTTAGCTTCGTCTCATAAAACCTTGCAACTTGACATTGGGGAGAAAAGAATAGCATCGTAGCTTGATGATGATAAGGTCCATGAAATGAAAACCTAGCTTCAAACAGATTATTAATGGAGAAATCAACCGAAACAAGCTTGTGCGAAGATGGGAGCCTTAAGGCCATACACCAACCCTTATTCCTCGAAATCCATGATCTTATGCCAATTTATTGATTAATGATGCATGATGTGTTAGATGACCTAATGTGAGAAAAATGCAAAAATGCGTAAGCCAGATAGGGAGTAAAAGGGTAGGACAAATTTGGGGTATTACAGCTGTCCCATGGCACTATGGGGCAGATGTGTATGTGCTTGGAGTGAAGCAAGAGTTCAACACCGGTACCAGTATCAGTAACATCACTGGTCCCGCCAAGATTACTCGCAGTGGCAGGCTTTTCTCGCCTGACATTGCACCACCAGTTATTCGAAAACCTCTTATCATCACACCCGCAAGTGTGCATGTTCCAAATCAAGTTCCTATGTCTACTACTGCCGCCGAGTCCTCTGATGCTCGGGGCAAAGAAGCTGCTAACGATTTTCCTGCCCGGACGGAGGCACCAAAAAAGACCGCTGTCGAAGCCTCCCAGCAAGAGATGGAGGAAATCCTTAAAATCATTAAAAAGAGTGAATTCAATGTCGTTGAACAGCTGGGGCATACCCCCTCCAAAATCTCTATGATATCATTGCTGCTGTGCTCAGAGGCCCACGCCAAGGCCTTGATTTCATTTCCGAAAATGGCCCATGTGCCGCAAGAGACATCTGCAGATCAATTCACTGACTGTGTGGCTAATTTGACCGCTGACAATGGTTTGGGGTTCTCGGATGCTGACCTTACCGCCAAAGGAAAAAACCACAATGATGCCCTGCATGTCTCTATAGAATGCAGGGGCACTACTCTTGCACACGTGTTGGTGGATACCGGTTCTTCCCTGAATGTATTGCCCAAGAAGGCCTTAGATCGGTTGGATTGTGAGGGCCTGGAATTGAAACCAAGTAACATCATTGTTAGAGCCTTCGACGGTTCTAAGAGGATGGTGCATGGTGAGGTAGACATTCCTATTCGTGTGGGTTCACAAGTCTTTGACTCAACGTTCTATGTGATGGATATTCGTCCATCTTATTCCTGTTTGCTGGGACGACCCTGGATTCACAAGGCTGGGGCGGTAACATCCACTCTACACCAGAAGCTCAAATACCCTGTCAAAGGGAAGATTGTTACTGTGCAAGGTGAGGAGGAATACATGGTTAGTCACTTGAATTCATTCCGGTATATCGAGATGGACGGGGAGTTTATTGAAACCCCCTTTCAACATTTTGAAGAGGTACCTCCAACATTGGCGTCAGCTGAGGCAGTGGTTGAAGAAGACTTTCCTTTGAAGATGGCTTCCTTGAAGGATGCTCGGGCTGTAATCGAGAAAGGCAAATGTGCAAACTGGGGTCAGCTTCCTGACTTCACTCAAAAGAACGACAAGTTTGGGCTGGGCTTTACTGCAGAGGCTCAGAAGGTTGTTCGCAAAGAAAGGATCAGAAAGGCTCCGGTGTTCATCACCAATCCAAGGGTGAATGCTATCGAGGAGGACGTAGAGGAAGCAGAATTTGACAGTTGGATCTATCCGACAACCAGCAACGGACCAAGCAACTGGATGGCCAAGGATTTTACACCTATAACATTTGTCACGCAGTAATTAACTCTTTTGTGTTCAATTTGTAACAAACAATATGTTGAAACTTTTATTGGCTCGGTGTCCTACCCGGGGCACCGTGGCTCCATTTGTGAGGGTTTTTTGTATGACATTTCCATATATCATTAATCAAAACATTGGACGTTTGTTGCATTTCAAATATTGTGCTCTTTTTCTTTCTGTGTTATATATATTGCAAAACAGCTATATTTACACACACTCACTTATACAGGTTTCAATCCACTCTGGATCTCACTGGTAACAGCTCTGCTACTCCCAGTTATGACTTCGAAAATCCGATCAACTTGGCCGAAGACGAAGGTGAAGATGATTGAGAAGTGCCTGGTGAACTTGCAAGACTGCTACTCCAGGAGGAGAGGACCATTCAGTCGCATGAAGAGCCGGTGGAAACAGTGAACCTGGGTACTGAGACAGATAGAAAAGAAGTCAAGATTGGTGCCAATATAGAGCTCAGCGTGAAGCAACGATTGATCCAGATGCTGCATGACTACATGGAAATCTTTGCTTGGTCTTACGAAGACATGCCTGGTTTGGATGCCGACATTGTGGTTCATCACCTGCCTACCAAGGAAGACTGCCTTCCGGTAAAGCAAAAGGTCTGCCGTATGCGTCCAGAGATGTCCGAAAAGATCAAGGCTGAGGTTATGAAACAATTTGATGCCGGGTTTTTAGCAGTGACTTCTTACCCTCAGTGGGTTGCCAACGTGGTGCCAGTTCCGAAGAAGGACGGTAAAGTCAGAATGTGTGTTGACTACAGGGATTTGAACAGGGCCAACCCTAAAGATGATTTCCCTCTGCCTCATATCGATGTTCTTGTTGACAATACTGCTCAACACAAGGTGTTCTCCTTCATGGATGGTTTTTCAGGGTATAATCAGATCAAGATGGCTCCTGAAGATATGGAAAAGACTACCTTTGTTACTCAGTGGGGCACCTTCTGCTACAAGGTCATGCCATTCGGGTTGAAAAATGCTGGGGTAACCTACCAACGTGCCATGGTTGCTTTATTTCATGATATGATCCATCATGAGATTGAGGTGTACGTCGATGATATGATTGCAAGGTCCCAAACTGAGGAGGAACACCTTGACCATCTGCGGAAGCTGTTTGACCGACTGAAGTTGTACAAGCTGAGGTTGAACCCAAACAAATGCACCTTTGGGGTGAGGTTTGGAAAATTGCTAGGTTTCATTGTAAGCGACAAAGGTATTCAGGTGGACTCTGCCAAGGTTAAAGCCATTCAAGAGATGCCAGCTCCCAAGACCGAGAAAGAAGTCAGAGGCTTTCTGGGACGACTGAATTACATTGCCCGATTCATCTCACATCTAACTGCTACCTGTGAGCCAATATTCAAATTATTGAAGAAAGATCAAGTAGTACGTTGGAACGATGAATGTCAGTCTGCTTTCGAAAAGATAAAGGAATATCTCCAAGAGCCACCCATTCTTATGCCACCAGTGGAAGGAAGGCCTCTGATACTATACTTGACAATGCTTGACAATTCAATGGGGTGTGTGCTGGGGC